GAAACCATTTTATCCTTCAATACATTGGATAAAGATCTTTAAAAAAAAAATAACCTGCTGAGCACTCATGGCTCATGCCTGTAATTCTAGTTACTCAAGAGGCAGAGATCAGGAGGATAGAAGTTCAAAGCCAGCCGGGCAAGTATTTCCGAGAGACCCTATCTTGAAAAAACCCTTCACTAGAAAGGGCTAGTGGAGTGGTTCAAGGTGTAGGCCCTGAGTTAAAACCCTAATACCACACAAAAAAAATTAAATTAAATAACCTTTAGGGCCAGGTGTGGTGTTGTGCACCTGTAATCTCAGCTACTTGAGAGATGGAGACAAGGAAGATGGAGGTTCTAGACCAGCCTGTGTAAACTTATCAGGAGATCCTATCTGAAAAACAAACTAAAAAGCATGAGGCTCTAAGTTCAAGCCCCAGTACAAAAAAAAAAAAGATAATCTTTAATTAAAAAATTTCTAGAAATCTTGACTACTATACCATAAAAATGAAGAATTCTACAATAGCATCAGAAGTTTTTAAAAATACATACCTACTGAACTAGATTCTGGTTGTGGAATGTCAGAATCTATATACTTTTATTTTTATTTTTTGATGATACTGGAGTTTGAATTCAGTACTTTGCACTTGTTAGGAAGGTACTCTACTGCTTGAGCCATGCAGTATCTTTGTATTTCAAATAATATTCTTCAAGTACTGCTAAGGTCTAGGAGCAGTTTAGTGAAGTTTTGGTTAGTGAATTTTTTGGTTAGTTGAACTGTTGCAAATCAATTAAAATGCATTCTGAGGCTACAGGAGAAAAGCCAACCTCATCCTCAGCTTTTTGTTATACTCACATCACACTTCTCACACCAGGTACACATACGGGCAGGCAATAAATTCTGCAGCATACACCAGCTAGATGACCTCCAATTCAATTCAGTTCTGACACTACCTGCCTGGAGAACTCAGTCCTCAAGATTACACCCTAGGTTTCTGTGCCACCTGGCCAGGGCCCACTGCTCTTTCTCTGCCTATTCTTTCCTTTTCTTTCAATAGAGTTTTGGTACTGTTTACAAAGAAAGACTACAATACACATGCTTTAGGTACCAGTTACAAGCTCCTGGTTGTTTTACCCATTTTTCTGACAGATTGGCTATAAATCAGGGTTCCCATAACCCCTCCTAGGGACTCCATTAATTTGCTCAAGCCATTCACAGAACTCAAAGAAATTCTAAGTTAATGTTTATTAGTTTATTATAAAGGATATTACAAAAGATACAGATGAAGCCATGCCTAGGGCCAGGCATGTGGGCAAGAGTTCCCAGCATCTATGCCCTCTGCAGGCACAACACCTTTCGGGAACCTCCATGTGTTTGGCTATCTGGAAACTTCTAGAATCCTGTCCTTTTGGATTTTTATGGAAATTTGATTGCATAAGCATGATCAAAACATGGACAACCACCTAGAAATTTGATTGGATGAAAGGGGCATGCTAATAGACTGGGTGGGGAAACCTAGCACAGCCTGTTGGTACAGGTGTGTCTTGGCCTCTCAGTTGTAGTATTCCTTCCTCCCAGGTATGGGGCAGGACCCCTCTGGCATAAGGTAGGTCTTATGACTTACTATCAGACAAGGGTGGGTCAGAGAATTTCTTTATGGCCAACTCCTAGGCAGGAAGGTGGGAGAGATTAGGATTCCTATGACTTGCCCTAGGGAAGAGAAATTCTAGTTTATGCCTTAGGGAGGGACTTCTGAGCTAAGAACAGTAGACAAAAACCAGATGGTACATATCATATGCATCATGGGAAAGTATTCATTTAAAGCAAATCTGCTGTAAAAAGTTTTGTAAAATGGGCTAGCAGAGTGGCTCAAGTATTAGAGCTCCTGCCTTGCAAGTGCAAGACCTTGAATTTGAACTCCAGGACTGAAAAAAAAAAGTTTTGTGAAATGAATACATGTATATATGTAGCAGGATCCAATTTGTAAATGTGCATTTATTTAGAATTTACAATGTGCTTTGCATGACAGTGAATAAGAGCACTGTAAGACACACTTTCACAAAGGATAAGTGTCTTGCCCTCAAATAGTTTATGTGACAGGAATCTGCAATCACCCTGCAGAAACTCCTAGGAAGAGCACCTGCCAAGCTCTCATCTTCTACTTGGCTTCAATCTACTTTTGAGGTTCTGGGGGTCGAACCCAGGGTCTTGCAGGTGACAGGCAAGTGCTCTTATCCTTTGCTTTGATCTAATTCAAGGTGTTTAAATGCCCCACAGGTGCTCAAACTGAGCTAGGAAGTAACAAGCACCAAATTCATCCCTGCTCTCAGAGTTTATAATGTAGTGGGAAACCAGATGTCGGAGGTGACCTGTGAGAGTTGATGCAGAGGTCCCCAAACTTTACTGTGTTGAAACCAACTCCCCTGCAAATCTGGGGAATAGGCAAATTCCAAGCTCAGAGATTCCATTTCTGTTGGTCTGATGAAGGGGCTGTGACTTGGGTTTTAACACCTTTTCCAGGTATTGCTCAGCTGCTGGACCTCAGACATCTTAAGAAAATCAGGAAGTCAGGGTTGGGGGTGTAGCTCAGTGTACAGCACATGCTTAGCACATACAAGGTCCTGGGTTTGATACCTAGCACCAAAAGAAAGAAAAAAAAAGGAAAGCAGAAATTTGAGATTTTCCACCCTCAAGCGCATAGGAGCTGGAAAGGACCCAAGCAAGGCAGGCCACGCATCACCATCCTCATTCCTTGCACCTTGTCTCCTAACACGATGATTTCTGTAGGGAGACAGACTGAAAGTGACCCTTCCTGTCCTCAGTGGTGTAGGCAAGAGGCCCACACACCAGACATGCTTGAGGGTACCTGCCTGCTAGACAGGTCAGCCAAATGTGAAACCTACAATGATACAGGCAGTCATTGGAGGTCCGAGGAGAAGCAGAGGACTTCCAGGGTCATAGTGCCTTTCTCCTCCCTCCCTTTCTCTTTCCTTCCCTCCCTCTCTTCTTCTCTCCCTCCTCCTCATTCTCCTCTTCCTCCTCCTCCTCCCCCTTCCTCTCCTTCTTCTTCCCTCCCCTCCTCTCCCTCCTCTGTTAGTGCTGGGGATAGAACCCAGGGCTTCTCACGTTAGCGCTGTGCCACTAAATTACATCCCCAGTTCTACACTCTTTATTGTGTGAAGGACCTTACTCTCCAAACTCAGAGACCAAGGGCCAGGGAGCTGTTTCTACATAGAGGACACCTGCCAGAGACCAGCATGGGGGCCATAGGCCCCAAACTCCAGGAACCACCATGGTAGGACACTGGTTCAAGTGGGTAGGGTACCTAGCTGGCGACCTGGCACAGGCTGTTTCTGGCGGCAACACACGCACTGGGCACCTTCTGCCAGCATCTCCAGGTGTTTCGTTTGTCTGGCTTTTAGAGGCCTGTGAGTTGCTGTGGGGGACGGGAAAGGGACAGTGTGTCAGTTCTGCCCAGATGGTTGAGGTGCCACACCGTTCTTTGTCAGGGCGAAGATAAAGCCAGGCACTTCAGATTCTAATCAGAGGGCGCAAGACAGGAGGAAGTGGCGAGATGGGTCTGTCCATCCCATCCAGTCCCAAGAGAGGTGCTGCCCTGCTGAGGGGAGGTGTACCCTTCCCAGGAGCCCCAGCAGGAGGGCAAGAACACCAGCCGCCGATTGAGAGGGGAAATGGGATCAAGCCGCGGGCAGTCTCCCGCCAGAGGGGAAGACAGGACCGTAGTCTCAGGAGTTCCTATTCTGGAGGGAGAAGCCACATTCCTGCCTCAGGGTAACCAAAATGGACTTCTAGAAACCAAGGCTCTATAACTTTTCGGTGGGACGCGCGATCCACCCGCACGGAAGAGGGTGGGCGCAGCAAGCCACCCAGTCCTGATTTAGCAACTCCAATCTGTCGCTTTTCGTCGCGGGCAATTGGCTCCTTGCGGCCCAGGGGTGTAGAGGACCGGTGTGCGGGGGGCAGCGTCGCATCGTCCTTTGCAGCCGGCTACCGGTCGTCCCCTCCCCGCGGGCTTTTGCACACGACGCGCGGAGGGCCGCTTCACACGGGGTGGCGAGGGCCGGAGATAAAGCGAGCGGGCGCGGGGCGCAGCGGCGGGCGCGGAGACTTGAGAGCACGGCGTGCGGAGCGGCTGCTTGGCGACCGGGCTCTTGCGGCAGATGGGTGCGCGCCATCGAGCGGCCAGTGCACAACTTTGACCACGCATTCGGCGCGGTGCGTGGCTCCCGGACCCAGCGCCGGGCTCACGGGGCCGCGTGGAAGCCATGGACAAGCAGCACCTGTTGGACGGCAGGCGCAGAGCCTCGTAAGTTTTGGGAGCGCGGGAATTTGAGTGGCACCAGATGCACCTCCATGTTTGCCATCTTAGCTGTGGTTGGTTTGGGCGCGACTTGAACTGGGACCACGCGGGAAGGGTGGGGTGAGGTAAGGGAAAAAGGAAATTGACCAGAGCCCCATGGCCCGGGGCATCATCTACAAGCAGAGATCCTCACTTCTGCCTGCAGTGGGAGGGAGGCAATCTGATGCCTGGAGTCCCGCCCCCAGTCCAGCATTTTGACCCTGGGCTGTCCTCCTATGGGGAGGCCTTGTGTCCTCAAGTGTGCAGGGGATTGCACACTTGAGGGGGGGAGGGGCGTGCTCTGGGCTTCTCCCTGAGCCACAGCTCTGTTCTTTTTCCGTGCTCGACTGGACAGTTTGCCCCTTGGCCTGATCCCAAGTCCTCTGGAGGAATGAGGAGGAGAAGAGAACAGCCCCTGACCAAGGCCCCAAGACTCTCGTTACCCCAGCGTCCCCCTTTAACACAAAGGGTCTCACCTCTGGTCACTCTGTATGTACTGCTGAGCTTGGAGTGTTCTTAGCCATTTTTTTTTCCACTGGACACGTGAGAACACCAAGGCCCCACAGAGAGAAAAGTCTGGAGTCAGCTTTCCTTGCCCCCATCTCCCAGCTGAGTAATTTTTCCTTTTTCCTCCCTGACCAGGCCATACTTAGGATCTCTGTGGCAGAATGAGGCTGGCTGGATCCCTAACCTGGACTTGCAGGCCATTGAACTGGCTGCCCAGAGCAACCATTATTGCCATGCCCAGAAGGGTCCTGATAGTCATCATGACCCCAAGAAAGAGCGAGCGCGGCGCCAACTCTATGTGGCCTCTGCCATCTGCCTTGTGTTCATGATCGGGGAAGTTGTTGGTAAGGACTTGTGTGCTAATTAAATGAAGTTAGTGTGTGGAAAGTCTGAAGTCCCAGTGATATTAATACCAAGCCCTACTTATTGCACATTCACTATGCTAAGCCCTTTACACACATTATCTCACGCAATTCTCACTGTAACCTCATGCTATCATGTGGGTGCTATTATGCTCCTTATTTTTCAGATGATTAAACTGAGGCATGTTAAGTAACCTGCCAAAGGTCACACACAGCTAGTAGGTAAGAGAAGGCCTGAATGACTAGTAGGATAATGCACTTTCTGAGTGAGTCCATATTATGTTTTCCAGTTTTGAACTTGATTTTCACATTTGCCCTTTAAGTAGATATTGTTAACCCATTTCACAGAGTGGAAGTTGAGGCTCAGAGTGCAGGTCACTTGCTTATGTTCACTTAATGCGTAGAGAGATGGAGAACCCAGAACTCCCAAGTCCGTGATCTCTCAGTTGTACACAGTCTGGGGAGATGGCTTTTTGTGAGAACTGATAAGTGTGCTCACCCTCCTGGTCCTGTCCTTGCAGGTGGATACCTGGCACATAGCCTGGCCATCATGACCGATGCAGCTCATCTGCTCACTGATTTTGCCAGCATGCTCATCAGCCTCTTCTCCCTTTGGGTGTCCTCCCGACCAGCCACCAAGACCATGAACTTTGGCTGGCAGCGAGCTGGTGAGGATCTGGGTTGGGCTGGAAGTGGGGTTGAGAGAAAGAGAAGGTGGGTCAGAACAAGGGTTCTCAGGTGGAGCTCTGAGTGAAGCCAGGAGGGCGACTTGGGTGGGGGGGAAGAGGATGTCATCTTAGCTTTTGTCCTCTGGGAACTCCCAGCTAATGGAGCTGTCCCGGTCCCAGCTAATGGAGCTCCTAGACCAGGAGCTATTAGTCTGCAGAGAAGTGAAGTTCACCTAAATTCACTGCTAAAAAGCAGTGGCTCAGGAACTTCAAGAACAAATGACAGTGGCATTAATGCCACCCATAACTCAACTCCATGGATCTGCTGTGGAGGGAGGGAAAGGTCAGCAAAGACTGTTGGAGGACACCAGCTTTAAACTCAGTTCACTTCTGGATTGTGTTATGGTCCAGCTCTCCTCCTCAGAGCTTCAGTTTGCCAGCAGAGCAAAAGGTATATATTTTAATATCCGTTTCTCTCTGTGTAAAACAAATAAGGTTGACCCAAATGTTTCCTTAAGTTCTTTCTAGCTCTGACAGTCTTGTTAGATAAGGTGCAACCCTGACAGTCACGCATGAGCTCAATGGAACCCAGTCCCTGACTTTGCAAGAGGAGAGAGGAGAGCATAGGAGTCATTGAGTCCCATACTTAGGTTGCTGTTGGGGTTGGACTCTTCCCTAGAGATTCTGGGAGCCCTGCTCTCCGTGTTGTCCATCTGGGTCGTGACTGGGGTGCTGGTGTACCTAGCTGTGCAGCGGTTGATCTCTGGGGACTATGAGATTGAAGGGAGCACCATGCTGATCACATCAGGCTGTGCTGTGGCTGTGAACATCATGTGAGTGTGGCCCCAGGTCCCTGTGCACCTCCTCCCCCCACCTCTTACATGAAGACCTTTATCTGCAGTCCAGCCCAGGCCACAGGAACAGAATTTCCCTCAAAGTCTGATCTCTGGCACTTGGGACACCTGGGTCCTGCTCTAGGCCTAAGCTAAGGATATTAGGAGCTATAGATCTGGACCCATATCAGCTCTGCTTTCCTACTTCCCAGTACCTGGCTGTGAATGACTGGAGGCCTCATGCCTGCAGCAGGAGGGATGAATCTAGCTGGTGCAGGAGCAGATGTCCCTAGGGTGTAACCCAGAGTCCTTTACAGTCTCAGTGGAGGAAGTAGTGGGCACAGCATGGGTGTCTTGTTTTGGCCCTCTCTCTACCTTGTTAAGGGGCCTCAGTTTCCTCACCTGTGACATGACAGGGTGAGCTAGATGACCTCCATATCGTCCTGCTCTGAGATTTGGCGATGGGGCATTCAGCCTGGCATTATGGCTGAGCCCCTTCCCTTGTTGCTCTGAACCAAGACCACATGGGCTGGGCTATTCAGTTTGACCAGAGTATGGGGCTTGAGATCTTTGTCCCACAGGGAGGACCTCTGCCTGGCTAGTTTGAAGCCTCTGCTGCTATCTTAATGAGCCCTGGGCTTTGTCTCCATTTCCGTAGCATGGGGTTAACCCTTCATCAATCTGGACATGGACACAGTCACGACCATGGGCACAGCCATGATGACACCAGCCATGATGATACCAACCAGCAGCAGAACCCTAGTGTCCGAGCTGCCTTCATCCATGTGATTGGGGACTTTCTTCAGAGCTTGGGTGTCCTGGTGGCAGCCTATATTGTATACTTTAAGGTCAGAGAGGACAGAGGAAGGAGGGTGGGGCAAGGGGGTGTAAATCATCAGGGCTCCTCTCAGTACAGGGCACTTTCCAGATTCTGGCTCCCTCCTAGCTCTGGATAAGAGAGTGGGGAGTGGGAAGTATTTATCTAATACTGGCCAAGAATCAGCACCTCCTGTCTTCATAACAATCCTTAGAGGATTAGCACTTGTGTTTTACATACAGCTAAGAAAGGTTGGGTGACTTGCATAGTGTCACACAGCTGGTATGTTGTAGAACCAGATTCAAACCCAAAGCCTGGACATTGCCTATCACATACAGGCCATGAGGTGTCATAGAAAGAGCCAGTTTGTGGCTGTGTGATGTTGAGTGAACTGCTTGCTCTCATTGAGCCTTGATTTCCCCATCTATAAAATGGGAATGGTGGGCCAGAAGCTGTCTAAATGATTTTTTTAGCTCCGCCCATGACTCAGCCCCTCAGGCAAGGAAGGATAGGAAGGCCTTGGGTCTCATCTTGAACCATAGTCTGTTCTGCCTGCTCTTCTAGATGTGGAATAAAGAGTAGAAAACCTGGAGGCAGGGGCTGGGTGAGGTTCATGCCTCGCCTGCAGTGAGAGCGCCTCTCCCTGATACAGCTGGATGGAAGGGGAAGAGGGAAGTCAGGAATTGGCTGATCTGCCTTCCCCTTTTCCTGCAGCCAGAGCATAAGTATGTGGACCCCATCTGCACCTTCTTCTTCTCCATCCTGGTCCTGGGGACAACCTTGACCATCCTGAGAGATGTGATTCTGGTGCTGATGGAAGGTAACCTGGACTTTGGGGCTCCCTTTTAGTCTCAGGCTCTAATCACCCTCAAAGAGGGGTGTGAGTCTCTGGGATCCCAGCACATTGGTTGGAGCCAGGCTCTGGAGCCTAGCTTGGGTTGGAAGACTTCCTGGGGCCCTGGCCTGATCTTGGCCTAGAGCTGGGCCCTCAGGTGTGCCAGTTCCTGGAAATGTCCCAACCAGGGCCTGCCCTTCCCCCTAGCCCCAAGGGCATCTCCTCCCTTGCTGGGGTGTGTCCACCTTGCCTTAGTCATGTGCCTCTGACCTCTGTAGTACCTGGAGCTCCAGTTCTCAGTCTCTAGTTGCCTTACCCCAGGCAGACAGGGGTGGGGTCATGTTTCCCCTGGCTCAGAGGGAAGCAGACCCAAGCTCTGAAGGGGACTGGGAGTCTGGAACAAAACTATTGAGCCCATTCCAGTTCAGGCCTTCCCTGTGCTCAGAGCCCCAAACCCCTGCCCTGCTTCTGGAAGTGGGGATGCTGGCAGGTGGTGAATGGTCTGCCCTGACTACCAATCTCACTAGAGCTTAGAACCTTGGGTCTTGGGCCAAGGTTATGGGTCTGTGCATGGTCAGTGTAGGTTTGGAGTGGTGGGGTATTGGCCTGGGGTTGGCAGGCATGTTTGGCTGCAGGTCAGAGCTTTTTCTCCAAGATGACTGATGCAGATAAAAAAGTGATGATGACAATTATGATGTTGATGATGTCACCTTGGGTTGCTTCAGGGGTTCTCAGGTTTCATTCTTTCCTTCCTTTTTCCTTCTACTAAAAATAAACACTTAATGGGCTTGAGGCTCGAGCAGTGGAGTGCCTTGCTAGCAAGCTCGAGCCCTGAGTTCAAACCCCAGTACTACCAAAAACTAAACTACACCAAACTAAAATAAAAGCACTTACTGAGCCAGGCATGGTGGTTCACAACTTTAATCCTAGCACTTGGGAGGCTAGGGCAGGAGAACTATGAATTTGAGGCCAGTCTGGGCTACATAGTGAGACTCTGTTTCAAAAAAGTCACTATTCTAGACACTGAAGATACATATAGTGGTGAGCAAAACAGACTGTCCTGCTCTTTGGCGTTTCCATTGTAGAGGAAGAGATGCAATAAGATAAATTAGAGAAAAACACTTCAGGATTTAGGGGGTGGGGACAGAGTTTAGGGGGTGCGGATTACATGGGACCTGCTAGCTAAAGAGACCTCTGAGGAGATGGTGCTTGAGGAACAGGATGGACGTGGTAGTTTTCTTTAGCCCCTGTGCCTGCTGTCCTCAGGGACCCCCAAGGGTGTGGACTTCACTGCTGTGCGGGATCTGCTGCTGTCGGTGGAGGGGGTGGAAGCCTTGCACAGCCTGCATATCTGGGCATTGACCGTGGCCCAGCCTGTGCTGTCTGTCCACATCGCTATTGGTAAGTGGTTGAGACACTCAGAGCAGGGGAAGGAGAGAGGCAGCCAAAGGCCTAGGGCCATCTCTGAATGTTTTGCCAAGCTCCTACATGGAGCACTTTAAACATTACTTCATTTGATCATTGTAATCTCATTTATTTATGAAGAAACTGAGGCTAGAGGCAAGGTAGTCAAGTCCCTTGCCCAGTTTCTTACATGAATGAGTGACTGAGGAAGGCAGATTCCAGCCTTCAGGCCTGTGCTTTTCCTGTTCTCTCAGGCTTGACCCTGGTCTGTGGCCCCAAGGGTTACCTGGCCCTGGAGTGGAATCTGGGGTTTCATGGTGGGACTGGGGTTTCAATTCCAGGCTTCACACTTGCAAAGCAGGCACTCTATTGCTTGAGCCATACCTCCAGTCCAAATCTGGGGTTTCTTCATGTTCATGGTTCCCTAATCTGTGGGTAGGCATGAGGCTTGAGCAATGGCGAAGACTGATCAAACAGTTCTCTGGTGCTTTCCCCTGTGCGTCTTTCTCCCCAGCTCAGCACGCAGACCCGCAGACTGTGCTGAAGATGACCAGCACCCGCCTCCAGGGGAAGTTCCACTTCCACACCATGACCATTCAGATAGAGAACTACTCTGAGGACATGAAGGACTGTCAGGAGTGCCAAGGCCCCTCGGACTGACTGCCTAGCCAGGCACCAACTGAGGCATGGCCAGGACCTGCAAATGGTTGGACCTGGTGTCCTTGTCTCCTGCAAGCCAGCCAGGACTCAGCTTACCCCACTGTGTTATAAATAAGGTTTATAACACCTCTCTCTATTCCAGGTTCATTGTGGAGCTTGGCCCAATCCAACATTGGGGCTTTCCTTGGCCTCCCATTTGCCCCCAGCCAGCCCTAGGGTAGGGATTCTTCCCGTATAAAGCCAGTGTGACTTGGCTCCTTCTCCTGGGTTAGCTCTGTGTTTGGACTTGATCCCCAGCTAATGCTGTTCTAACACCACAAGAGAAAGGCATTGAGCTTGGGACTGGCCTCCAGGTTTCTTCTCTGACCTGCATTTCCTGATTGGGCCTTGACCTTAAGAATTTGTAAGAGGGCCTGGAACAGAAGCCCTTCCTCTGCCATAACTATATGGTTTAAGGAAGCCATGGGGGTTGAGAGACACACACTCATATGAATTTCCCTGAGATATGGAGCCAGGGGGGCTTGAGGCCTGTCTCTGCCATAGTTATTTTGGCTGTGAGCCACATATGAGCCTTTCCTGGAGGAAGAGGCTTCTTACTAGGTAAGAACCTGGGTGCTTTCCTCTTTCCTTGTTCCCCTAGCCCAGGAAGCTGTGCCAACCTATAGATGGTCTTGCCACAGGTGGAGGGGACAGATTTCAGCTGGGGTCCTGTCCTAACAGCCTCACAGCCCAGGGCCTATTCTCTTGCCCTAATAAATGTCCCAGGGGATTACAGAGCCTGGAATCAGACATGATTGAGTCAGCTCTATTGCCTGCATACCCTGACCTAGTCAGAACCTGATCTAGGCAGAACTTAGGGGCTAATGAGGACCCTGGTTTCCTGAGGCTTGGGTGTGAAGAGTCCTGACGTAGGGGCTGGGCTTGTATTTATAAGATGCAAGAGGGGAGACCTATCCCCAGTCTCAGAGGCAACAAGCCCAGTTACCAGGAAGCCCTGCCCTAATATCTATTCCTGCCATTATAGAAAGTGTTCTTAGGCCAGTTGGCCTGTCTGTGCTTTTTATTCTCATCTGGAGACCAAGAATGTATCACCTACCTCACAAGATTGTTGTGAGGACAGAGCCAAAGCCTGCCAAGCACCTGGTGGTCATTGGAAAGTGGTTACTTTGATCATCACCCTGGAAAGAAGGGACTCTTTGACCACAGGCTGCCTGTGAGGAACCAGATGGGCTCCCCAGCCTCCCTAATCTGTCTTCACTCTGTCCTGCCCATGGTGGGAAGAAGAGGGACTGGTTCCTTGCCCTGCCCCTTTAAAATAGATGGCAAACATTAACTTTAATTTTTTTTTTTTTTTTGAGACAAGGTCTTGCTACGTAGCCCAGGCTGTCTTCAAACTCTATCCTCCTGCCTCGGCCTCTCAAGTGCAAGGATTATAAATCTGTGCCACCATACCAGGCTTGCCTCCTCCTTTTATCCTCTCTCTTCCCATCTATAAAATAACCTCTTTCCAGCAGGGTCACTGGGATTGTTTGTGAGCTAGATCAGGGGATCCTTCAAAGTCTGTGAAGTCATCAGTGTGTGCCTGGAACTGTGGGGGTGCTGCTGGTGCTATGGCTGCACTTCACTAGTGTCAGGAATCAAATGCCCACCCCTCAGCTCTGACAGGACCCAGGAACCTGAATCCTGGCTTCACTGTGTGCCAAATCCTGCACCCCTCTCAAGAGACAGTCCATATCCAGGCACTGGTGGTGCATGCCTGTAATCCTAGTTACTCAGGAGGCAGAGATCAGGGGGATCACAGTTCAAAGCCAGCCTGGGCAAATAGTTTGTGAGACACTATCTTGAAAAAACCCTTCACAAAAAAAAGGGCTGGTGGAGTGGCTCAAGGTGTAGGTCCTGAGTTCAAACCCTAGTACTCCATTTTTATAGATGAGAAAACAGAGGCTAAGAGATATTGAGCTACTTGCCAGAAGTTACACAACTAATGTGAGGCAATTCTAGAATTTCTGCTTTGTTTCTCTAGACCACCCCTGTTACACCAGGGACTGGGTGCCTGCTCTGAGTTGCATGTTGGTACAAGATTCAGGAGTCCAGCAACGCCCTCCCCACACTCACAGCCATGCCAAGGCGGTTCTGCGTCCTGGGTGCCCAAGCAGCATTTGGAAAGGTGCCTCATTCCCTTGGGCCGGCCTAGCAATGGAAGCCCTCCCCACTCTTGGAACGCTGCCTGGGTTACAGCTGTGTGCTTCCTCATCCACCCTCAACTGCTCTTGACCCTGAGCCAGACTGCCTCCCCTCCCCCCCTTATAAATTCCAGTCCCTCTTTCACCTCAAGCATTGGCAGCCCCCTGCCTTCCAAAGGACACCCATTCTGCAGGTCCAGCTATGACAGGCTCTAGGGAGGACCTGAGTCATACGGGGACCAGGGGTCAAGCTGGCAGAAGGGGGTGGGAGGCCTTGGAGAGGCCTCAGGGGACAGTATGTCCCAGCCAGCGACCTAGTCACGGGAGTTTCCACAGCGGCGAAGCCATCAAAGCAGAAAAACACCCGACACCCTGGACCTGGGCTGGACCCCTACCCCCACCCTCTGGAGTCGCCCCTGCTCCCTCGCAAGCCTTGAATCCTCCCCCCAACTCCCTGAGCAGCTGCTTTAAGGGTATTTATAGCCTGAGCGTGAGGAGGGCAAGGACACGCGCTTTATTTCGGAAGTGATAATTCCAGTTCCAGGTGGATGAACACGAGAGAACCGGTGTCCCCTCTCCTGCTCGACCCTCACCTACAGGGCGCAGGGGACAGCCTTCCTCCCGCCCAGCCCATCTGAAAATGGCCTCTTCTGAGTTCCAAGTGAGGAGACTAGAACTATGAGGCTACCTTTTTAGATTCCTTCCCCTCTTTCAAGCCCGGAGCAGCACACACCACTGACCCTCCACGCCCCCTGCCCGCCCTCTCACCCGGAGGGTGTTTAAACGCGATTCCCTATTCGGAGGAGCGAGTGCGGCGCGGCGCTGGCCTCTAGTGGTCCAGCCCGGGAATGCAGGGCGGCCCGCCAGGCCTGAGCCAAGGGTCTCCCACGCGGGCGCCACGCGCCATCTCCGTGTCTTCCCCCGCCTCCTCGCTTCCCCGCACTTCTTGGCTCCTTCGCTAGGGCGCAAAGATTGAGCCTGGCAACCCAGGCGTCTGCGGATAGCTGCTTTCCTCGCGGACTAGGAACCCCGGGAGGGGATAGGGAACCGGGTTTTGTCTCTTGGCATATCCTGTCCACGTTCTGCCACGCAGGCATACAGTTAATGTCTCTTCCAACTGTCTATCTACTCATCAAACCTCTGCGGTGTTCTCGCCAGACCAGGGAGAAGAGGGCGCGACCCGCCCTCCGGGGCTCCCAGGAGGGATCTGGGACCAGCGTGAACTGGAGAGACTAAACCCATCGCGGGCCGAGCGTGAGGGTCAGACAAGGATCTGAAAGAAAGTGGAAATTAGCTCTGCGGAGAAAGGTATTTCAAACAAGGGAATCCACCCGCAAGGAGGCATAGCGGCAGAAAACGCCCTACACTAAGCACGGCCCCGCCCCTTAGTATCCTGACCGTGATTGGCTGATCGGGATCGGTCGTTTGGCAGATGGGCTGTCATGATTGGCTCTCCCATGTCTCTCAGGCAGGTGCGGCGAGGTCCGCAAGCCTGGCTAAGGACCTCAGCAACCCTTTCCCTGGGGCTTCTCCAAGCTGCGGTACTTCTTACGCTGCACCGACACCGGGTCCTTAAACAGAACAGGGTCCAGACGCAGGTGAGAGGACACCAGGGGCATGTAGCCGAACTCTGCCACCATCTGATTGATACAGTCCCGGGGTGGAGACTGCGGCTCTGGCCGGGGTCCAGTACCCCCAGGAGACTGTAAGGTGAGGAGAAATGTGTTCTGAGCCCCCCAACTCTTTGCAGCAAGAAGGATTTAGGTTAGACAGTGAGAGAGAATCGTCTCTGTCTCCCTCCCCACAGAGGGTGGTCTCCTAGTGCCTCCCCATCCCCCGTGGCTCCTCACCAGTGGAGCACCCTCTTGGTGCTGCTTGCTACAGGGGACCTTGATAGGGGGCAGCTTGGTGACCGCTGCTACCAGGAAGTTCATCAGAACGTCCGCACAGGTGGGCGCCTCATCTGCCAAGGTCCTCAGGGGCTTGGACAGGGTGTGGGTGAAAAGAGTGTGGTAATACCTGGGCAGGGGGAGAGGACAGGGAGAGGTTGCAGCCAAGTTCATCACCCAGTCCTCTCTCGTCCCTCTTGATCTTACATCTTTCTTTGACCCCAATCCCCAAACCACTTCTGAAAGGTGTGCTCCCTTGCCCTAGCTATTCTCAGAGAGCTCCTAACCCTGGTATGAACAGCTCTCCATGTGTCCCATGGCTTGTCTGCAGGCAGTGGTGTGCTCCCTTCCCTCTGCCTTACAGCTCCTTGAGGCTCACAGCATGGGCTCCAAGGTCTGAACTCAGGCAGAGCCGGACTTGGGGTGGGTGATTGGTTCCAAAGCTATCAGACATGGCCACCCCAAAACGAGCTGTAGGAAGATTGTGGATTAACCAGGCTGATGTTGCCTAGAGTGACCACCACCACCAACCCCAACACTGTCCTTATCCACTAAATGACAACTAGCTATTTGTTGGACATCTGTGTGCTGATCTGTGTGCTGGATGGTCATACCTGAATGAAGACATCCCCTTTTATAGATGAGGAAACTGAAACCCAAGAGAAGTGAGGAGACCTTCCCAGGATTACATAATTGGAGTGGGAAGTGGCAGATCTGGGCCTTGAACATGGATCTCTGAGCTCAAGGCCCACCTACTCATTCATGGAAGGAGTCTCTGGCCCTCTGAGCCCTGTGTGAGGATCAGCATTTGTACCTATGGTAGAAGGCAGCCGTGGTGAGAACCATGGAGAATTCATTGGTCATCTCAGCTGTGTAGCCCCAGCCACCCCGGGCCTCATCCCAGAAGTGGCTCCATGTCAGAAAGCCCACCATCCGCTCTGGAAAGCTCTGCCAAACCATGAATGCAAAGTCCACCTGGGGAGGGATTTAAGTGAACTGTGAGAAAGGACTTCTTGACCAACTAAGGACATCTTTGCATCTTATGTTGGCAAGGCCAGCCTGGCTGAGAGGCAGAGATAGGGCTGTCGCAGAGAGACTGGGAGCCATCACTTAGAGCTGACTAGAAGTGTAGCACAAACATTTCTAAGGGGTACTTGGGGAACTTTCCAGCTGGGATGGCCTTTGTGTAATGTCTGTCCTATGTTTCTAAAGACAAGGCCGAGTGGCTTGCTATGAAGTTTCCTAAAACCAAAGACTGGACCTCAGGACTTGCTCCTATTTCTGGGAACCTGAGGGGTTGCAGTGTCCTCAGTCTCTGTCCCCACCACACTGGGCTCCTCTTGGGCCCAGCCCTCACCTCACTTGTGGAGAGACTACTGTGAGCATCAAGACTGAGGATGGTGTTGGTGTTGATGGCGCTGTACGGGAAGAAGCGGTCACTGGTCTGCAGTAAGAGAGGATGAGAGTGACTCAGTCATAGGAAGGACCCACCCCACACACACTCATGCACACTCAATAGGTAGGAGCCCTCCGGCAGGGTGCAGAAAGAAGGGCTATGGATACAGCAAGCCTGCCCAGAGCTCATTTTACTTCTCAGGATTTCAGTCTCCATTTTGGTCAAATGGAGTAGTTGACTCTAGGGGCAATTCAGTTTTGACATCTCAGGTTCCCTCTGTAATCTTATTACTCACATCAACCTTGGGAGGAGCTGGCAAACATCCTTCATTTGAAAGAAACAGGTCTAGAGAAACAAAGGGACTTACCTAGAAGTACACAGCCAGCAGGTGGCACCCACCCACCCAAGTTCTCACAAACCACACCTTCCTGGCCCAACTTGCTGCCCTCTGTCCATATTTCCCTAGGATCCTAGGCTTCTTCCCATCCTTCATCTGAGACATCTGTGGACTCTTCTGCCTCCCTCATCACGTGAACCCCACTGCTCTGAAAGCACAGTTCACAGGGCCAGAGAGGGAAGAGAATTGCTTCTATTAGACCTCCAGCTGGAACCCATGGTCTGATTTCTTCAGGCCCAACGTTGAACACCCAGATGTGTGCCCTCCCCAGTTACCAGCCGAGCCCACCCCTCTGTACTTCTCTCCTCCCTCACCTTCCTGCGCCCCTCAATGACTGTCAAGGGCACTGTTGTCTCTGGCCACTGGGATGGGAGTGGCCTCTCACCGCTCCAGAGAACCATGATCTAGGAGGAAAGGGGGTTGTTTCTGAAGTCTGGATCTGGGACAAGAAGGGGAGTCTCAGGAGTGGCCTTGCTCAGGGTGGAGGGAGCATGGGAGAGCAGCTGCTTATGCACATAGGAGAGGATGGTTTATTTGGATCCATGTCCTTTCAGTGCTCCCCTGTTGTTGCTTCTGGTTTTCTGGAAGGCAAGAGTTCTGGTAGTGGTAGCCTGGGTACTGACTCCATGCCCCGCCCCCATTTTCCCTCTGGCTATTTGTCATCCCCAGACCTATCCAAATGTCTGTCTGTGGAGTTGTTCCTTCTGTGCTTTGGCTGAACTGCTTCCTTCCTCCTAGAGAGCCTACCTGGTTCCTCTGTAAGACAGATTTGACAGTCTATGTGCCAGGAAATGCTAACTGAATCCGAAGCCTGGGGCAGAATCCTCTCCCGCTTTTTCTTTGCATCCTCAGCATTAGTCCTAGGACCTGGCCTAGAAAATGACTGCTGAGCAAATGAATGAATTGAATGGATGGATGGATGGATGGATGAAAGAATGAATGTTTTCTTCTCCAGCCTCCCAAGAGCCATCAGCTTTTCATGGGCTTCCCCCAGTTCCCATGGAGTTGGGGGAAAGGAGCAAGAAACTTGGGACTTAAAGAGGAAAGCAGCAAGGATCATTGGAAATCCTCCCTGTGCCTCCCCTCAAAATGTGTAGTCATCCTTTGGGTCTAAATGTATTCAAAGGTCCTCCCCATACCCCTTGCCCCCACCCTGGGTCCCAAGAGTCCAGCTGTCAAGGGACAGACCTGGGCACAGTGCTGGGAGCCTGCCACTGCCTGGATGAGCTTCAGTGGGGGGTGGCCAGGGCCCCCCATCCAGATCAGGGCGCTGAATCTGCCCTCAGGGCGGGAGCCTGGGGGGAGGAGATACAAGTTGTTAGAGGGGAGAAGACAGAGCCCTCTGGAGATTGACCTGAGTGGTGGACCCTAAGGGCAAGGAGAGATGTTGTGGGCTTTGGGAGGATCTTGGCAAAGCTCATTGGATGAGGCTGGGAGACTTCAAGTTGTCCCATCCCAAGAACATACCCCGTTGCAGATGGTAGAAAGGGAAGTCCTGGGGGCTCATGGAAAAAGTGGGCAGGGCCAGAAGCGCCCCTGGGGGGCTGTTCCACAGCAGTGAGGGGCGAGCAGATGTGCCAAAGATCCGGTCCTGAATAATCTGTGAGAGGAGAGGAAGGTTGTATGGAGGGGGTGGCCAGGGCCTAGGGAAGTGAGGCCCTGACATAGCCTCCACCATACCCCCTTCAGGCTCAGGGGAGGATGATAGCCACATATTAGACCCCTGAGGGCAAAAAGGTCGAGAAGCTGGGGTCCAGAGGAGGGGGCATTTGTGACATGCTCCAGAAGTGGCAGATGGTGACAAACTCACTGCCTCCCTCTCCTTCCCCACTCCCAGCAGACATCTCTAACAGGTCATGACATTCTTTTAGAGTCCAGAAGATCCTGTGACTCTCTCCCTACCCAGCACCCCAGGCAGCCACTGCCATCAGCTGGAGATGGCACATGCTTTGAATCAATGTGCCACAGCAGTCCCCTCTACAGATGGGGAAAACAAGGTCAAGATTGGAGAGAAATGTGTCAAAGAGCTCACAGCCAAGACTGAAAGTCATCCTCAAGGGAGGAGCTCCAACATTGGAGAGAGGAGGTGTCCAGGGAGAGGAAGATGGAAAGGGGGTGGGAGGAAACAAGGGTCCAGGGCCAGGGCCTGTGACAGGTGAGTCCCTCTTACCTCCAGAGTGGTGTGGATGACTTTCTCCACTGAAGAGAAGTAAGCATCCCATAGAAACTGGGTCTGCTGACGCAGGGTGAGGACCCGCTCACGGGGCATCTCCTGGAGTGCAGCCAGGACCTGCAGCACAGAGGGAAAACAGAAGAAGGCCTGGGACCTTATCAAACCCTGTCTGACCCTGAGAGGGAGAAACCTGGAGCTGGAAATCTGGGATCCAAAAGCCCCCTCCTCATGGCTCTCAGTAGCAACGATTCTAGGCTGAGTCCCAGGAGACATGGCAATTGAATGCAAGGATCACATGGAACTGGGCTTAAATGACACTTGGTAACCATGTGACTGTAGTCAAACTATTATACCTGAGTCTCAGTGTTCTCATCTGTGAAATGGAAATAATAGTACTTTCCTCACAGGTGGTTGTAAGGATTAAATTAGATGACACATAAAAGTGCTTGGCAGGTGTAGAGGCTCAATGAATATTTGGTGGCTGTGATTAACTCCCTATGCCACTCTTACTCCCCAGGGGATTCTTTTTTTTTTTTTTTTTAAAGAGCTGGGCAAGATTAGTTTCCATTAGATAGGAGTCATTGTGCATTTTGCTTTCCCATCCCACATCCCACAGAGGCACTCTGATTTGTGGTTTTTCTGTAGCCTTTCCTTAAATTGGGTATTTAAGCAGTCATGGGCCTTGGGAGCAGGGCAAATGGCAATCATCTGGTTTAACATCCCATTGTAGAGATGGGGAAACTAAGGCTGAAAGAGGATCTGGACTTGCTTTCAGCACCCTCAGGAGTCTCTGCCTCCATCCCATGGGAGTCCCAGAGGGAGGCTTGGGGCAGAGGAAAATTAGTCACTGTACCTAAATGGGAGGCAGGTATGAAGACTGAGGTCTAGGGGCCAGGATTTTGGGAGTCCAGAGCTCATGGTCCTTCCCATGCCCCAGGTCCAGTCCCCACCACATGGACAGGGCCTTGAGCTACCTGAAGTGGGAGCCTCTTGTCAGCTAGAATGGCCGCCTTAGTCCAGTCGATGACTTCTGAGAAGGGCAGCTCCCAGAGAGGGCTGAGGAGCACAGGGATGCAACCAGCCTGGGGGACAGGGCAGTTACCAGGAAGCCAGTTCCCACTCTGCACATACCATCCCCGCCCCTCTGTTCCAAGGTAGCAGCTGCTGTTGTTGGAGGCAAGGGACAAAGAAGGACTTTTTTGTTTTTCACCCTGGGGGACAGGGTGTTGTCCTGAAGATTGCAGTGAATATGGGGTATCCACAGGCACACCTGAGCCCCAGAGTAAAGAAGTAGGCAGCTAGGGCTAGGGATATGACTCAAATGGTGGAGTGCCTGCCTAGCAAGAATTCAAACCCCAGTATGGGGTGGGTGGAAGCAGGAGAGAAAGAGGAGAAGAAAAGAGAAGAGAGAAAGAAAAGGAAAGAAAGAAAGAAAGAACATCTAACTGCCCCTTCTCACAGGCCTGTGCCCAGCACACCTGCCACTTCCAGGGGAAAGGGACAGAGGACCAGGATGCCCAAGCTGGGGTTGTACCTGCAGGGCTTGTAGGAAGCTTGAGGCTTCAGGACGGTGGCCAGGGATGAGGCAGAAAGTGGCATTGGGCAGCATGTCCCCAGGGTGGGTCCTAAGAAGGCACAAGAGGGGGGTCCTCACACACATGGACCTGGGACAGCTGGCCCTCATCCCACCTGGCTCTCTCAGTGACAATAAACACCCCACACCAACACTCCCATACGCAATGTGCACACCCACCACCCACCATCGTGTTCTCAGACATCAACATAGCCACATGCTGACATTAACAAACCTGAGCACACACTGGCCCCTCATCTACTGTTTGGCTAGGAGACAGGAGATGGGTTCTAGGTTGGTGCCCTTGGCAACCTTAGATGCTGCCCTTCTCTTCACTGGACCTCAGTTTCCTCATCTGCAAAATGGGAGAAGAGGGGCCTAACGCTTCCCAGGCTCCTTCTATTTTCACTGTGCCACCAGCAAATTCTCACAAGCACCCCTCATCTGAGTGGCCTCCATGCCCAGCCCTCCTGCACTGCACCGCAGAAGCCAGTGCCTATGAAAGACTTCTCTGTCATGAGGTGGGCTGGGCCTCTGGCCTGGAACCACACAGGAAACTCTTGCCCAGAGGCTCTCCCATCCTGAGGACAGTTCTCTGTTCCTTCCACCTCCTCCCTGCAAGCTCAGCGTCACACTTAGGCTTGTGTGTGTCTGTGAGGGAGGAGCAGTACTGCCCACCCAGGGAACTAATGGCCATGACCCAACTTGGGCAGGGAAGGGATGGAGGGTGACCAGCACCTTGAACTCACTGGTCAGTGAGACTTGAGTCTCTCCTTAGCTCTGGCCTTCCAGAAGTAGGCCTAGTTGTATTTGGCAGCCTCTGGCCCATCCTTCATTGAGCGGATAGGGACACTTAGTCCAGAGAGGGTTGGGGCAGAGCAGGGACTAGAACCAAAATGTGCCAGCTCCAGAGCCAGGGCAGCTTAGGGATCTCCAGAAGACCCTGGCCTCCTTTGTCCTCCACTTGGTACTCAGTTGTCTACCAGGCTTCCCCTGGAGGAAGCCAGGAGATAAACCTCAAGACACCCTTCACCACATTTAAAGCCACAACACCAAACAGTTACACCTCTCTCAACCCCTCTCCCCAGTATGCTGTAAGGTACTGGAAAGATCTAGGTTAAGTCTTCCGGGAATACAAAAAGAGACAAAAGTCCTGCTGAATTAACCGTACCCCTTGTCCCTTACCCTCCCTGGTCCTTCCTTGGTGCCTTTTCCCTCACCCCAACTACCCTCCCTGCAATGCCAGCCTGAGGAATTCCTCCTACTCAACCATCACCTCCCCTGGAAGCTTTCCTTGATCTCCCAGGCAACCTTTACAAAGCATGTGCTTTGCTCTTGGCACAGTTCTAAGTAGTCTACAGTCACGAATTCACTCACTTTCACAGCAACTCTCTGAAATGGGATGCACGCACTGTTATCCCATTTTATGGATGAGGAAATCGAAGTCCAAAGAGGTACTCAACTCTGAAGTAGAGGAACCTGGTAGCCAGCTTTCACAGCTTCTCTACTTGACAGTGGGCCAAAACGTTGACACTGCTGTCTTCTACAGGACTGTTACCTGAGGGCAGGGGCTGACTCTCTCTTGTCTCAGCACTTTCAGGCCTAGCAGAGTGCCAGGTGGAGAATGACACTCCGTGGGCACTAAATGAATACTCAGTGTGGCCCTAGGGATAGAACCAAGACCAATGGGCAGGTATCTGAGAGGCCAATTTCAGCACAGATTCAGTTGAGGAGCCTAAAGTGCAGCCAGCGTGTAGCCTTGGGAGGTAGTAAGTTCTCCATCAGTAGAGGCAAGTAGGCAGAGGCTGGATGAACACCTTTGTGGGGCTCAGGGAGAGAGTGTTACAGAGGGAACTTGGGTATCCATGTGGTGACCATGTGAGCAGCTCCCTAAGCCTTAGAACTCTGTAACCCTGTAAGGGTGTCTGCCAGAGACCCAGGGCCTCAGAGCCCATGGGTGGTCAGTGTGGCTCTGCCCATGGCCCCAGGGTTCTACTACGACCTGGCCATAGGCAGGGCTGCATTGTGACTTCCATGTGCTGTAGGCACTGTGGCCTTTGCAACAATTGCTATGAAAAAAATTCTAAAGCTTTATTTAGTAACAGTGCTGATATAAAAAGAAACATTCATTTTTCTTCTGAAAGCATTTTCATGTGCCCCCCAAGTATATTAGAGCTGGGCATGGTGGTACACACCTGTAATATCAGTGCTAGGGATATTGAGTCAGGAGGATTGTGAATTTGAGGCCAGCCTGGGCTACATTGCAGGACCCAGTCTTAAAAAAAAAACAAATGAGCCAGGTGCCAGTGGCTCATGCCTGTAATCTTAGCTACTCTGGAAGTCGAGATCAGGATTACAGTTCAAGCCCAGCCCAGGCAAATAGTTTGGGAGACCCTATCTCAAAAACACTCATCACAAAAAAGGGCTGGTGGAGTGGCTTAAGGTGTACACCCTGAATTCAAATACCAGTACTGCAAAATAAATACATAAATTAATTAAATTAAATTTAAAAAAATAAAAGAAAAGTGTCCTGGGTCCTAGACAGAGTCCCTGTTGTATCCAGTGAATATAGGCTGGGGGACTGGAAAACATGCATTGAATTTACACCAAAGATGGAGGAGATCTGCATACGTTATATGCCTGTGTTCACACAGAGCTTCTCAGAAGACCACAAGAAACTGGAAACAGTGCTTGGCTCCAGGAAGGAAAAGTGGGTGGTCAGAAGACGGGGTGGGCGGGATACTTCTTACTGTATACCCTTTTGTACCTTTGGAATTCTGTACCCTGTGAATGAATTACCTATTCATAAAAATCAATAAATAACAATTTAAATGGGTGGACCCTTGTTCCAAGGCAACAGGAGACTATTCAGCCAAGGTGGAAAAACATGGGCCTTGGAGCCAGACAGGCTTTGATCCCAATTCTACCACTTCTAAGCGTCTGATCAGTAAAGTGAGAGGGGCCTGGTGAACAGAGAACCTTGGCACCCAAGGCCTTTGGCTCACTCATGCCACCTCTCTGAGCCTCAGTTTCCTGCACCCTGAAATGGAGATAATGCCTCCCTTAAATGGGGCTTCAGAGAAATTTGGAAAGGGCCTGATGCAGCACCTGGCCCAAGGCAGGGCTTCCCCAAATGCCAGCAGCTTCCCTGCCCTCTCCTGCCAGCTGAGTGAATGTGGGACAGTGGCAGGGCCTATGAATGCCTCTTTCTCCGGCCAGTGTTTGTTTATTCAGGCCACTTTCTGGGGTTGGACCTGTGGCTATCAGCCTCCTTCTTGCTCTGTCCCTATACTGTGTCTGGTCCAGGCAGCTGCCTGGTACTTCTGAGAAACTGAGGTCCAAGCTACCCTGAGGATGACAGGTACTGTCACCTGCAGGTAGGATGAGGCCAAAGACAAAACTTTTAGAAGTTCAGAGAACAATGAAAGACTGCCCAGATTTATACCTAGGAAATAAACTTATCAAAAATGCTATCCCCCTTCCCCCCCAAAAAAATGCTACCCAGAGGGTGACCAGACCATTGCCTGTTCTGGCGCATTTTAGATCCAGCAATAAACATTTAGCAAGTACTTGTCTGCTGTGTGCAGTTTTTCAAAGCAGTGCAGACTGAAACAGCAAACTACACTTACAGCAACCAAGGTCGGCCAAAAGAGAACTTCCTGCCAGCAAGAATAGCTGAGTGCCCAATCAGAAATGGAAGGGTGCTAAGGCATGGTGGTGCACACTGTAATCTCAGCACTTGGGAGACTGAGGCAGGAGGCTCACAAGTTCAAGACCAGTCTGAGCTACATAGTGGTGAGACTATCTCAAAAAAAAAGAAAAGAAAAAAGCTGGGCACCAGTGGCCTGTACTCCTAGCTACTCAGGAGGATCTCAGTTCTAAGCCAGCCTGGGTTTGAACTATTTACTTTGTGAGATCCTACCTTGAAAAACTCTTCACAAAAATAGGGCTGGTGGAGTGGCTCAAGGTGTAGGCCCTGAGTTCAAACCCCAGTACTACCAAAAAACAAAGAAAGAAAAGAAAAAGAAGGGAGGGAGCAGGGGAGGGAGGTCATGGTAACTGGGAGCTCTGTCACCAAAGGTGAACTTCTGTGGTTCTCTGGACTCTTGAGTTTGAATGGCCTTTGAGAACCCTCAATCCTCTGGCTGCTGCCCAGGACACTAGGGACAGGTCCCCACAGAAGGGATATGAGAATGACCCCTGGCTGGTCTGGCCCCCTGAGAGCCTTCAAGTGGTGAAGGGGTTCCATTCCCACAGGAGCTCCCTGGCTGAGAGAAGCCCTGGGAGCCCCAAGCAGAACCGAAATAGGGGCTTGGCCACGTGAAGAATTTCTGGGAGGGGAGTGGAGCTGAGAACAGCCATGGTGTTCTAGGGGAGCTCAGGGAGAGACTGAGCGAGAAAGTACAGGAAGGATGAGAAAGGGCAGTTTCCTCCTCAGATTGCTCTGCAGGGGATGGAGATGGAGCCTTCCTCACGGCCACACAGCCTGGACAGCCTCAGGACTTCCATTCCTGCCCACTGGCCAGCCTGGAATACCGCTGGCCTCCTGGAGATTAGGGGGTTCAGGAGCCTGGGGGATAACTGCTTTATCACCTGAGGTATGTTACCCCAGCTAGCCTGGGAGAGGGGGAAGAAAGAGAAGTTCCTGCACAGTTCACCATGTCCTCCAGGCCCCATCCCCTTATCTCTGTTCAGGCACTCTCACTGGGAGGACATTCTTCTTTAGATGCAACTGAAGTCATATTTGCTAGAACCAAAATCTGTTTCCTCGAGCTTAATCTGCAGGAACAACCCCTAGCTATGTCCAGTGTATTAATCTCCAGGCCCCTCTGAGGCACTTGACAGGGTTGACGAACTCTTAAAACTCAGAGCTCTCATACTGAAGGTTTTGGAGACAGGCAATTCTGGATTAAAATACTGGCTGTGATAGCTGGGCATGTTGGCTCACTATTATCCAGCTACTGGGAAGCAGAGATCAGGAGGATCATAGTTGGACACTAGCCTGGGCAAAAAGTTAGTGAGACCTCCATCTGAATAATCAAGCCAGGAATTATGGGACGTGCCATGAGTCCAGCTCCTTGGGAGGCATAGGTAGGAGGTTCAAGGTATGAAGCCAGCCTCTGGGCAAAAATGTGAGACCCAATCAGAAAAAAGTGTTGGAGGCAGCCTGTTTTCATAATAAGCTTTATTGTGACAAAAAAAAAAAAAAAGTGTTGGAGGGCATGGAACAACGTGGTAGAGAACCTGCCTAGCAAATGCAAGGCCCTGAGTTCAAGCTCCAGTACTCATCCCCTAAAAACAAAACTGGCTGTATTTGTTCTGGCTGGATGGCTTCATAAGTTACTTCTCTGAGCTTTAGTATCTGGTATACAAACACTTAAATGAAAGCAATTAATATTATTTTATTATACACGGTCACTATTTATAAAAGTGCTTAACACCTAGTAAGCCACATACAAATGTATGTTACATAAAATGCTATGGTAGGAGAGATTGGAATAACAGATAGGGAATAAGTAGGAGTGACTCATGTTTTGCTTTTAAAGATCCCCAAGGAAGAACTCCAAAATCTGCTTTTGACATCCCTTGAGGCAAGTTGTCTTCTTGTTGGAAGTGCTTTCTGTTGTCTAACCCTACTCCCTCTTTCTACAGATGAGACCAAAGTTTGCCAGGACCGGCTGGTTCCCCATCTCAATCCTGCCCATTGCCCTCATTTCTGGGCTTCCTTCTGTCACAGCCTCCCTCCCATGCAGCCCCCAAGAGGGAAGGTTCACTTACTTTTCAGGTCCAGGATCCTGTTCACAGTGCCCATTCCAGGGACAGGCAGAGGTGTGGGTGCCTGGCATGTACCACCTGCCCTTCTCATTTGCCAGGGCTACCAGGGCTGCCCCGGGGTGAGGACTGTACTGCTGCAGCTGGCCAGGAACCCCACCTCGCAATGGGTGGGCTTCAGGAAGATGGGGGAGCGCCACATCGAAGCCAGGCCGGAAGGTGTCCACCATGGGGCTGGCCTCGGCCACCATCGCCTGTCCCAGCCAGGAGGCCCGGGGGCAAGGAGCTGGGTGGAGATTGAGGACTAGATGGTTCCTGCCCCTGTTCCAGTGCAGAGGCTGCAGGCTGCATGCTGGAGCTGGGGAGTCCAGGCTGGGAAGGAGGAGGAGGAGGCAGGCATCTGAGGGGCTGGGTGTGTGGTAGTGAGAGGCTTTCAGGGAGGCCAGGATCCTGTGATGCACCTCAGAGGTCTGACCAGTTGCTGGGTACACGAAGACCTTGAAGCCATTGCCCCTGCACTTGGAGGTGTCAAAGCAGGTTCCCCAGCTGCAGCTGCCACCATGGGAGGCTGGAGGAGGCTGAGGGGCATCTTCTGGGAGCTCCTCCAGCTGAAAGAAACTCCGCAGGAGCGGTGCATCCAGCCAGTGGGGCCAGCCGTTGGGGTGGCCTGGCTGAGGCCTGGGGGGCACTGCCAAGCGGAGAAGGGGGAAGACTCCCAGGAAGATGAGCAGGATCCAGGAGGCTGACAGTGCCAGCCAGAGGAACTTTCTTCTCCACAGCTGCATGTGGCCACTCACAGGCAGGGCTGGGGAAGCTGGGAGTCTGTGTGGCAAGCAGGGAGGACAGGACCTGAGAGTGGAAGTCTGGAGCTGGGGTCAAACTTTTAGTCCAGCATTCTCATTGTACAGATGGGAAGACTGAGGCCCACTGCAGGCAGACTCCCTGCCCAAGGTCAAACAGTGAGTCACTGGCCACCCATGGGAAGCAGGAGGACCCAGCTTCCTAAGACTTGTTTTCCTGCACTCAGGACTCTGATTCCTCCCTTGGCTTTTGGACAACTAAGCTAGCCTTTGTCCTCCCAGTAGGCGCTCCTGCCTGGGGCACTGCTCAGGCTGATGCAACTCTTGTCCAGACTGCAAGTCCGGTCTCTCTGCCCTTCTGGCTGGACCCCTGCCCTTGCCCTTGACCTAGAGGAAGGCTGTCTATCAGGCCATTGAGGACTGACTGGTCAGGGATCCCACAGTGGCTGCTCAGCCAGGGGGCAGGGCTGGAAAGAAGCAGCCCTAGCTAACCCTGTACCTGCTGGCAGGCACTCCTGTGGTTGGAGCTAAAATTAGACCCTGCGCCTGTGTGGGCTATTAGAGCCAACAGAAGTCAGGGCCTGGGTGCAGCCAGTGCCGCACCCCCCCCCCACCGCCTGGGGGGGTTGGCAAAAAGACTCAGGGTCCTGGTCCTCTTCTACTCTGCCCCTGTCCCCAGCCCAGGTAGCTCAACCCCTCCCCAGTCCCACAGCTGCCCTGCACCCTTGGACTTCGAGCTGTCACAGCACAGCATCCAGGATCTCCATGCCAAGCCCCTGCCCCATGACCCCCAAGCCCTGGCAGCACCGGCTCCAGTTCCCTCTTCAGGCAGCATCTGGCCAGTCCAGATCTCTTTCCTAGCAGCAGTCTGGCTCCTCCCCTGACCACCCTGATTGGCTCCTGACTGGGAGGCAGGGTCTCCTTTTAACCCTTTGCAAACCAGCTTCCCAGGTTGTTAACAATAATGACCAGTAGCCACCACACCTCACAGATGGCCTCTAGCAATCACAGCCACTGTCTCTCTGATCTTCTAGCAATGGTCTAAGGCAGAGGTTTCTGTCATTTTTTTTATTTAAAGATGAGAAAAGAGAGGGGATGGAATCTTCCTAAGGTGACCCAGTTAAGAAGTGTCAGGAGGAGATTTGAACCCCAAGGTCCTGACTGTCTGTCACCCAAGCTGTGTGTCTGAGCCTTTAGAGTTGATAGGTGAAGAGTCAGGGTGGTGTGAAGGGTTGCGTAAAGCACCCCCAACTGTCCCCAGGATTTGTCCCCTCTTCTTCCAGTGTTCTCCCACCTCCACTCTCATCCAGCTCCAGCCTTTTGTTTTGGTATAATGGGAGTCCATCCACACCCCAGGTAGATGGGGCTCTAGCTCGTTGCTTGGTCTGTGTTCTATGAGGTGAGTCTGGAATGGGTGATAGCATCCACTGAGGAACCCTAATCTGACCAGGGAGAGCACAGGAAATGGCAGAGTAGACCTCTGCCTCTATCTCTGATAGGCTGGATAGTGTTTGATCTTGACCCTCTATATTTCTAGAATGGAGATAATAGCAAACACCATGAGATGGTTGCCAAGTTAGGTCCAGGCCTATTCCCTAGGACAGGTCCCTCAACAAGGGGGCCTCCTCTTCATTTGCCTTCACCTGATCTCAGAGGGCTCCTGATCTGATGGGGGAGCTACCATGGGAACATTTTGTCTTAAGTGAACAGCCAATTGAGGGCAGGATACAGTCCATGCACCCAGAAACATCTTGAAAATGGAGACCAAGGGGAAACTGACCTCTTGCCACAAAGGGGTCAGTCACCTAGCAATGGGCAACTGTTCCCACAAGCACCAGGTCCTCTCATGCCAAAGAGGCATGTGCTGTTAATTGCCTGCACTTGGCCACCTTGCCTAGCTAACTATTCTTTGTCCTTAGGAATTGGCAGAAGACTCCCTGACTATGGGAAGCTGCTCCAACTCTCTGGCTAGGTCAGGGCCCTCCTCCAGGTCCTCCTTCCATTTTTTTATCCATTGATTCCCATACTCATTCATTCATACATTTGTTCATATAACAAAAACTAAGGCGTACTAACTCTGGGCCAGGTTCCACTCTAGGCACGAGCAGTGCAACATGAACGACTAACATGACTATGTGCCAAGTATGCTGAGGGAGCTCCTCTCTTTGACCCTGTGAAGGGGAGCTTCCAGGTGAGGAACCAGGACACAGGGAAGGTAAGTAACTTTGCCTACATTCCCATGGCTTATCCAGGACCTAGGCCATCCATTCCTTTAACCATTCTACCTGCTAGTGAGACAGACGACCCTCACCCTCTTAACTCATTGTCTGGGCAAAAGAGAGACCAGTATGGTGGGGGGGACCTGGGAACTCAGAGAGAGGCTGCCTAACCCAGGGGCAGAGAGGGTTGCCCCGTTCCGAGGAAGTGATGCCTACCCTAAGACCTGAAAGGCAGCGATGTGGTGTTGGGGTTTTGGGTTTGGTGTTTGCAGTACTAGGGATGTAACCCAGGGCCTCCTGCATGCGTTCTACCATGGAGACACATTCCCAGGCAAGCATGCTGAGGGTGCTCCTCTCTCTGATCCTGTGAAGAACACAGCAACGTATTTTTGAGAAACAAAAATGGCTGTGTGGGAACAGGAAGTAAATGGCAGGCCTAGAGGCAGGAAAGACTTTTTATTACTTGTTTGTCACCCATTCATTCAACAGCTATTTAATGAGCCTAATCACTGTGGACCAGACAGGTACTGAGGGCAGTGGACAAAGAAGACAAGATCTTGTCCTCATTTAGCTTACATTCCAGGGAAGAGGAAAGAAAAAAAAACTAAAAAATAAAACCCTCCTGTGCTGTTTGGAGAAATTGTTACCATGTTAAATGGGACTAGGGTGGGCATCACTGAAAAGCTGCCTTCCCTTCCCCTCCACCACCCATCCAGGTTATTCTGGAGATGGACTCTCTAAAACTATTTGCCCAGGCTGGCTTTGAACCATGATCCTCCTGATCTCAGCCTCCCAAGGTAGCTAGGATTACAGGTGTGAGCCCCTAGTGCCCAGCTGAAAAAGCTGACTTCTGAGTGAAGTCCTGAGGAGGTAAGGAAGGGTGTAGAGGTGTCCTAGGAAAAGACCACGTCAGCAGGCAGACAGCCAGGGCAAGGTTCTGAGGCAGAAGAGTGGCCATGTGGCCAGGCATCACCTGTCACCTGACTGTTTTCCCAGTACCACATGAACCGTAGGGTTGGGGACAAGGCCAGGAGCTCTGCTGTACCAGGTTGCGGCGGAAGTGAGCCACGGCCATGGCTGGGACCAGGAGAACAGGGTGAGAAGTCATTAGATTCTGGAGCTGCTCTGACCATGGTAAAGGGACAGGTTTGCTGATAGATCAGGTGTTAGGTGTGGCCATAAGCAGCATGGGATTTATCGTTCTACTGAGATGGGGAAGCCTGAGGGATGGGTGCCATTTGGGGGGAAAGAAGACTAGAAGTCCAGTTCTGAATCTAAGAGCCAGGTCCCACACATCCTTCTCACTCCAACACTATGACAGTAAAGTCCCACAAAGCCTGACAAATAAGTGTAAGATGGACAGAATCTGGGTGGCTAAGAGACCATAGTCAGTAGGTTAGGGGGTTAGGAGAAAACCTGATCCTGCTCCACTGCCCACCCCAGTCTTGGACCCTGGCTGGCTTGTGCCCATGCCTACATCTGTGCACACACAGGAGCCCTTTCTTCCCTTCATATCTGCAGGGAACCTTCTCAGGCCAGCTGGGTCTGGGCTTGTCTGGACAGCTTGTGGGGTTTGGATGGAGGCAGAGAAGGTGGAGCATCCTGGCATAAAGGACTGAGCTGAGCTCATCCTAAAAATAGATCTCTGGGCACTGTCAAAGGCTTCCAGGCATCTACAGGGCTTTTCAGTGCTTATCAAAGCTGCCAGGAGACCCCATCCTATAGTGGGCAGGACGAAGAGGACAGCATTGAAGAAAGGAGGGCAAGGCTTGACCTTTGATTCACTGTAGGGGGCTTCACAGGCTGAAGCAGACCTTTCTCTGGATTTGAGGACCAGGAAGTGCTCCTGATGGCAACTTGAACTCAGAGCACTGCAGTGTTTTGCTTCCCCAGCCTGGGGGCTGCCTGGGTATAGGGTTGCTTCCTGCCTGAGACTCTTAAGAGAACGAGGGCTATCACCATCATGTGACTTGCTTGGGTCTTCCTTCCTTCTTCATTTCTCTTCAGGATTGGTTCTGACATCTGCAGAGGGAATGCCGCAGTCTTCAGAGAGGAAGGGGCCTGGTATGCTAAATAGTGCTGTTGTTAAGAGCAAGAACCCAAGTGTTTTAAACAAGCTGTGTGTTCCTATACAAATTACTTCGCCTCACTGTGCCTCTGTTTCCTCACCTGTAAAATGGCTCCTTTCTTAAATGATTGCTGGGAAGAGTAGTAAGATATGAATGTACAGCATTCAACTCACCATGTCTGGTACAGAGCAGGCACCTAACAAACAGTATCCTCCCATCCCCTCCTTCCCCCAGACCTAGGGAGGTGTGATGACTTGCCCTAGGACACCTAGCTGTCCATTTGGAGTAGACTAGGACCTGGACTTTGGATTCCCCATCCTGCACCCTGTTTTTGCTGTACCTCCACCTCTGTTCACGAAGAAATATACTTGGCCTGCAAGGATGACACCTGTGTAAACACATCTACTGTTCTTGTCTGTTGCTGTTGACTCCTCCAGCTCTGGTGTCCCTGGGTGTCTTGCGCAGAATTAGCAAGTGCAGGGGCTCAGAGATTTCAGGATATTTTGGAGTCTCGAGCTTACTTGCTTGAGCACAGATAACCCAAAGAGTCCACATCCTCATAAGACTCTGTAATACCAGCTGCTGTGGGTCTGCATCCTGCCCTCAGCGTGATACTAAGCAGTGCTGGCTGACAGTGGGTCCCCCCACCACCTGGAGTCAACTGTGCAGGGCCAAGGAAGCAATCCAGGGGACCCAGAGATAGGGGTGGGAAAGCAGGACTGGCCTCTGCCTCTCTCCCAAGTACACCCTTTTCCCAAGTCTTTCTTTTCGTTCTTTGGCAAAATTATTTAATGTCAAAAAATTTTTATTTAATAATTTTACAAACAGAATTTGCTTCATGTTTTGATTGGTTCACTGCACATGCACATCAAGGTCACCTCTAAAGCTGATTTTTCTTCTAAGATAGCCTTCTTTAAAAGATGCTTGATCCAGTTGTACTATATGACAAAAACATAAGAAATGATCATACCATAGCCAAGAAAGAGCATCAACTACACACAATTACAAATATTGCAATGTTACACAATATTTGATTCTTACAAAATCTCATTAGCAATGAAGTAGCCATTAGAAAAGTCCTGTGGCTTGCACTGTTAGTTCTACTGGACAATAGTGTTTCCAATATGTTGATTGCTAACAAAGTAACATACAGAAAACCTTGTGGGAAGATTTTTTATGGTCATGTCCACAGCAAATGAGAAACTGGATTTCCATGACCATCTGAGCCTTTGTTTTCTTAGCATCAGCCTAAAGTGGTAGAAGGATTAAGCTTTCCAGATTTGGTTCTGGAATATTCTTTCTCAGAAGTAATCCTGATGCAGGTCGGAAGATGAATTCTCTGATTTCCTAGCTTATCAACACTTGACACTTGACTTTGTAAAGGAAAATTATACAAACCGTGGAAGTGAGGCAGTGAGGAGATGGTGGATGGTCAATCCACTGGTCATTGCCTAACAAGCCCAGATATTTTGTAAGTCTGAGAACTAAGATGCTAATTTGTAGAAGAGATTTTTGTCCCACAGTTGG